TTTCCTGTATCATTACTGAAAGAGTACAGAGTAGTCAGGTTCCCTGTGGCAGTGTGGAAGGCAGACTCACTGATACATTTCGAAGAAGTCATATGTTGATTAAGGTCAGAAAAAACTGCTAATTCATTTGTATTAGTTGAAGTACTTTCAGCTAAATCAGCAGTGTCTGCTATCTCACGTGGATCTTCCTTGTTCAGGCTTTCTAAGCCACAATGAACAGAAGCATTAAAGGTTGAAGACATACTTCTGAAGTTATTATGAAGTATCTTATTTGTGACAGGATCACTTCTAACTTCATGATGAATATCACAGCCCTGCTGAAAAATCAATTCACTACTATGCAACGATTGCTTCATGTTGTGCTGGATTTGTTCCGAAGCCGGTTCTTTCTCCGCCAAGCTAACACAGTCTCTGGAACTATTCTGACAAAAACTACCAATGTTTCTTATAGGAAGCAAGATGCCACTTCTATGGGAAGTAACAGTGCTTTGAGACATATCTGCCAGTGTGTTAGGAATAACTACTGTTTCACAACAGCTGGAAGAAGGAAATACTGTTTCTTGAAAAGTACTTGTTACTTGCTGCTCAATATTGCTTATTGGTAAGTTTGTTAGAATACTTACAGGATTAGTCGCCACTGATTGCTATGTGAGCAGCACCAATCAAGAGAAAGTAAATAACAAAATGTTAATAATAACAGTTATCTACAAGCAGCACTTATTACTTTATACATTTTTGTGAAATTTTCACAGTTCTTTTACTGCTTGTACATTGTATTGTTCAAATACAATACACTGGCAAATAACCTGAAACTCCACGTCTCATATGAGCAACAGCCAACCAACTTACATCATTTGGAACAGACTTCTATGCGTAACAGAAATTTTGTATTATTTAAAAGAGTATACTGCTCTGAGAATGAACCCAGGCCTCCATAGTGAAAACCTGATGACTAACCAGAGCTATGGCTCAGTTGGTGGGTTATGTCAGGTCAGGTTCACTTAGCTTGAGTTCAAGGTTAATGTTATGTTACCTAAAAAGTAACAGCAAACAAAGGGGACAGTGGCTATGAAACATCTGCTTGTAAACCAAGGTTCACAATGACAAATGTGCTCATCACTGCTTCATAATTCAAGTGCTGCCTAATATTGGCTGGATGTAGGTATTTGGAATCTACAAGAAACAACTGTAACTATTAGAAGTATCTACTACTTCCCTGCACTGTTATTTTTAATAACAGCATTTGCTTACTTAGACATGTTTCCTACTCAGTTGTTCCTGATCCATTATCCAAAATTCTAACCTCCATTAACCTAGCAACAAAATTCCAAGGGCTTTATACTCGGAAATCTCTAAACTGAATAGTGGTCTTCCTACCAGGAACATAAAACTGACTTTCAAGCTCCCTAGGGCAACTATAATCTCAATTATGATCTTGTAAGACCATTGAAAAAAAACATAAATGAATACTCAGGACTCAACCCCAGGGCACATAACAAAACCACACCGCATAAACAGTATGCAAAACATAAATGAATACTCAGGACTCAAACCCAGGGCACATAACAAAACCACACTGCATAAACAGTATGGAATGAAGAAGAATACAGTACACAGTTTCATTTAACTGTAAAAAATTGTATATTGTTGAACACATTTATCTCCAACATTTGAGGCCCTCTGGATTAAATCTCAGCCACACAGAAAAATGCCAACGCATTTCCAGGAGCCAACAATAATAATAATAATAATAATAATAATAATAATAGGTTCCGAAGTCATAAGTTACGGTTATCCAAACAATTACAGTACAGATACACCAACATCATGACTGACTGACTGACTGCAAAAAGTATAACAGCAATAACTCAACAAGAGATACATTCACTGTTGAAGTTGGAGTTGTAACCTGATGAGTGGATACAGAAAAAGAATCAGTTTGTCAAATTCTTCTATGCTTCATAACTAACACTTTATATGTAACTACAATGACAGCATAATAATCAACGGCCACAGTAACAAATCTTCACTGCATATCTTTAATGACCTACTTTACAGTGAAACATACTTATTTAGTAAATCAATATTATATTACATTTTAATATTAAATGCATTATTCATAAATCACCATGTTCACATTACAAATTAAGATCAGGCACGTACAAGAATCAAAACTCTCTTACCTCTGCATTGGTGGCTGACATGTTCCAGTAATTATTTTGCTGCTGCATAGATGTATTTGCTGCTACAAGAGTCTCACTGTTGCTATAATCATCCCCTACAGAGGTCATCTGGTCTTGGTCTCGTGCTGTACTCGCTGAAACGGTCCCCCATTGAGAGTTTGTCCAATACTGGTCAGGACTTTTAAAGTTTCTTCCTGGATCACCTGAAGGTTCTGCTTGTGTCTGACATACTGAGAACACAGCAGCAGCATTACATACAACATTTATTCTGCATAATAAATTATAGGGCTACATCTTCTACTGTTTCAACAAAACTGTAACAGGACAGGGCAACTACCAACAAAACTTTCATGGTCAGTTTGCAGCTCGTGTTTGGACACATTACAATCCCTTACAATGTATATTCAGATGCTATGCTGTCATATTGTTTGGAAAACTCTCTTGACTGTAGATTCATTCTGTTCTGTATACAATAAAACTAAAACTATACTGAAGATTTCTGTGCGCTGTGTAGTCTGGTCGATGTTAACATCAACCAGATGACACAGCACAACAACCCAGAAGACAGAAATCTTCATACTCATTGCCCTGATGATGGAGGCAGTATGACATCTGAAACGTTGGTAAACATAGACCAGACTACACAGCGCAACAACCCAGAAGACAGAAATCTTCATACTCACCGCTGTGAAAACCTCAAATCTTGCATAAAACTATACTTCCATACAAAATATCATCCAACAAAGATTCAGCAGTCAAAAGAAGAAACAGACACAACATACCACTATAAAAGGGGTTCTGAAACTATGGGTTAAGTTTCTTTTTGGTGACAAAATCTTTTGAATAAGACAGATGGCTTTCATAAATATATCTAATTGAAAAAGTGTATACTACGGAATCCTAATGATGTCAGTAGTTTTGATCACAGGTAATCACATAAATTTATGTAATCTTTCAAAAGCAGCGTGTTTGAGAATCCCTACTTTCTATCCACTTTCAAGTAACAAGAGCTTACCATCATCACCGGTTTCCTCTATTCCGTGTTGAACTGGCCGCTGCCGTGTCTGTTGATCCAGTTTTGAGGAGGCAGCTGCTGCTGCTGCTGCCAGTCAATACCAGCAGTTAACTGATCCTGCAACCAGCAGCAACTGTATACTGACAAACACATATATACAGGAACACTTTTCTAATGGTCCCATCCCCCGATCTTTAACAATTCTAAAGGATTCTGACATAAGTATATTGCAATTAGTAATACTGAACTTCTAGACAAGTCCATAAATAAAGAAATCCAGTAATATCAACTGTACTGCATACCTGCATACTGTCAGTATTAGTTGTCCCATGCTGAACAGGATCACCTTCTGAGTAACTCAGATTTGATGTTGAGCTATAGCTC